CAGGGGGAGGAATACTTAACAATTTTTGAAGCAATCTGCTGTTTAGATTCTGAAGGTTTGTACAATGAGGCACAAGATGTGAACTCGTGCAAAATAAATATGATCCAAACTAAAAAGAAATAAAGTAATTCTGGATGGAGGAATGAAAAATATCTATTGTGGGAAGACCAGTATTGTTGAACTAAGATGCCATTCTGATCCATGTACGAGCCAGGACAAACAGCACATGGCCACCATGCCAGACCCAACAGATGACAAATGCTGGCAAATAACCAGATACCCCACAGTGGAAGGGTATGGCAATCTGCTAAAATTGAGAATTTCTGCTACAGTGGAAATAAAAGTTAATATTGGTCAGATTTGCAATCGATAAAAGTGTAGATGAAATATAAGATTATACACACACGCACACACACACACACACACACACACACACACACACTTCCATCCATTACCTTAGGAATGGTTTTCTTGACTTAATTTGTCTTTTCGGCACAGGGACAAATGTGTGTGACTTTGTCTCAGCTAAGCCAAATTCTGGGCGACTCCTTGTTGGAAGCAGTGGAGTCGAGTGGTCAGATGAGTGGGGTTTGGAGCTGGGTTTGGAGCTGGGTTTGGAGCTGGGCTCAAAGCTATGCTTTGCTAAGTACTTGCTGGCTGAGTGACCTTGGGCATTTAACTTCTCCAGGCTGTCTTCCTATGAAACGGAAACAGTACTGATACTATGGGATTCTCAGGATAATTAAATGAAATAAGTTAAGGGCTCTGCACATGGTTTATGCTCAGTCAACAGCAGTGGCTCCTGTTTTGGGGGCCATGAGGCCAGGAAAGTAACGGGACATCTTCTATACTTGGCAGAAACCCCAAAAGCGGGCAAACTGTTGAGGGCGAGGGAGCAAGAGGTGGAGAGGAGAAACAGTGGCCTGGCCGCGGCAGCTAAGAGACCTCCCACGCTGCCTGCTCAGGGCCTCCCTCCCAAAGAGTGGCTTCTGTCGTGTGCGCTGTCACTGTCGGGGAGGACTCGGTGCCGCTGGTGAGTTGGGGTGGAGCGAAGTTGGACATGCATCATGGAGAGCGGTGAGGATAGTGGGGGCTCCACAACCTCAGATGGGACAGCGCCTTCCAAGAGTGGCGAAGGGCTCGCAGAGCAAATCAGTGGACACCAGCAAAGGAAGGGCCCCCGCGGCGTCCGAGCCCCTGCGCAGACTCCAGCTTTACCGTGCGCTGTGCTTCTAAGTCAATGCCCCAGGCAGTAGAGCAAATGCGAAGCCTGCAGGCTGGAGCTCCCGCCCCGAGGCGTCCTCTCAGGAGGCGGTGTGCCCCAACAGCTGGAGCACTGTATTCATGGCGCTGAGGACCTAGCTGGGAACCCAGCCCCGGTGTGGGCAGAGAAGAGCAACAGGGAAGCGTGGACGCCCCAGGCCAGCGCCCAGGAGCCAGCGGGCCCTCTGCCTCTGGGAATGGGACGAGGTCCCCTGACGCTTTAGCACTCTGCTCACCCAGCTCTGAGGAGAAGCTGCTAGCTGAACACGGTCCCTTAGAGCAAGCACCTGCTCGAGAAACAAATCCCAAATCTAACACTGGGCTTGGGGTTGGTTCGAGGTGGCTTTAAAATCTGGGCTGTAGCTTCATTACTTGTCACTTCCCCATCTAGTAGCCACCAGCTACTGTCCTTTAGGCATCGAGATCCCACGGATAAACTTCACTCCAAACCCTGCCCTTTGGCTCACAAGAGTGCCCGTCTCGTTCATTATAAAACATTTTAATGCATTAAATACCATTTCTGTTGGGATCAGTATATATGCATTTTAAAGCTTTTTCAAAGTTATTATATTGAATTTTATGATTGCATATGTCAGAGATATACACTTTATACTTGAAGGTCTGACCTAAAAATGTCTCAGAATAGTGTAGAAAAAACTACTCAATGTGTGTGTGCGTGTGTGCGTGTGTGTGTGTATTTTTTAAACAAAATGAAAGGACTTACCCCAAAGATCTGGCAAAGTTTTGCTGAGTACATTAAAAAGAGAAATCAAAGTCCTTAATTTATAGATTGTCCCCAGGAATCACTACATTTTTCAAATCTGCTGTTAGACGGGCTTTTCTTTCTTTCAAATTTTTTTACATCTGGACTTGAGACATTAACTAATTCCACATGTGCCACAGACCGCAAATGAAGACACAATATCAGAAAATATCGTGCCAAAGGTTCCCTTTAAAGTCCGATGCAAACGATCTCCTCACCTCTCTACGCATTCCTTGACAACAGCAAAATTCCCGTCTCCTATTGTCCTTCCGACTTTATACCGTTCCGTTATCGTGGCTGGAATCTGGAAGCCCTCCTCCGACACTTCTGGAAGAATCGTTAGTATGTTTTTATTGGTAGAAAAGGGAACACAGATGTTGCGTAAAGGAGACAGAAGTATCATCTAATAGAGTGGGACCGATTCAGAATCCACATGTCATTTTCTGCACAGTGAGGCCAGCCCCGCCCTGACGGCACTGTATATACTCAACGGCTTTTACTACGACGGCTGATAAACTGAAAGGAAACGTGAAATGTATGGGGTCCCCTCCCAGCCACCACACAAGAGCAACTTGCTCTCCGCCGCAGTGGGCATTCTGAGTTTTGATCTTTTCATTTCGTGCCAATTTGATCTGTGGCATTGACTGAACACCCGCTGTGCTTAGAGAAATGACACTTCTAGGTATGGTTCGGGAGGAAAATGCAGTTCGTCAGGGACTCTAAGCTGGCTGACAGTGCACAAGCATGGAAAACGCCTGCCGTTTGCACACTTAGCTTTACTGCATCCTGAAATGTCGATCTCCATGCAACTGCGTAGGCGCTAAGCCCCGATCGCCACCCCTCCCCTGGATCCACGAGCAGATTTTAGACAAGTTCTTGCCAGCAACCTGCGTGGCAGATGTTGAGTTAAAATCGCAATATCTATTCTGTCTGTGAACAGAACAGTTTTGTAGTTTCAATTATGTTAGTGCCACTAACACAACACATTTTCCCCCTTAAAATGTATCTTGAAATATTTTACAAATGCCTAATAATGCTTTAAATATCTAAAGCAGTAAAAACTAAATAAGCCACATTTAGGTCACATAAATATACTGGATAACCTTTAACATCTTTGGGGTGTAAAAAGCCTTTTATAGCTGGGCTCTAAAATTTACATGCTTTAAAGTTATAAATCCTGGCTCTCCCTCAGGCAACCCGAATACAAAATGTGACGGAAGCCCAGTGTGCTTTCTAAATGTGCTCCTATTTTGACCTTTAACCATAAACTGAGACTAAACATTCTTTTTCTCAAAATAAAATTAAAACCTACGGTGGTGAATGGGCTTTCTTAGGGAGGTTTGCATTCTCATTTCATCTGTACTGTTGGGGAACAACAAATGGGAACTCAAAACCAGCAGGCGTCTGGGTTAGGCCCCTTTCTCTGGTTTTGTGATGACGCTCAGTCGGCATCACTCTGGATTCTAGGGTGGAGGGAAGTTCTGGACAGTACTGTACAGATGTTCGGCGTTCGCGGCTGCTACTTCTGGCTTTGGCATTTAGGCAGCCCCATCCCCTCTTTATAAACGACATTTTACTCTCAATACACTAGACGCTATCGCAGTGGTTTCCAGAATAAAGTGAGAGCCAAATAAATCCCCCCACCCTCACCATCTCACCCGCAAAGAAGCCAAAAGTTTTGCCTCTGCTTGGAAGACTCAGCCTGGGGGATTTTGTCTACTCCATGGCAGTTAGAGGAGATGGCTGGAGAAGTTTCAAATCCACTGCAAAGCACCCGAATTAATAAAACCTCTCTCAGAAGACACGGTTTTAAGGCTCTTTATTACGTGGATGATAAAAGTAACCATCTCTAGCTGTCGGATGGGAAGTAGAAGAAGGCATTTCCATCCTTCTCGCCAGTGGGAGACTCGCCAAGGCCCCCACCTGGAGCACATGGCTTGGGATTTTTTTTCCTACTGATAAAATATATCTGTTAGGCGTTTGGCTAAGAAAATTAAGTCATGTCGCTTAAAACAAATAAGAGGAGTTGATTCTTTAAGAGTAGTTTGATCATATAAGTTTTATACTTTTCTAAATAACTTCCCATAATTGATTTGAGCCTGATAACCACAGAAGGAAACAGGCTTGTAATACAATGTCTGTTTTACAGGAGAGACACTAAGCTGTGTTGAAACAGCTTAACCCAAACAACCCAGTGAGGTAGGGAAAAATCGGTTCTGGAATTCAGGTCATTTGACCACATCACAGAGAAATTCCGAAGTGAATTAGTTCAAGGTACAAAGAATATTTTTGCAATTGCAATCAATTAATTCCTTTTGAAAGCCATATTTTTGCATATCGAGTTCACTTAAGTTAGAATAAGTACATCTGCAGGGCTGTAACAGTCCATCGCGAGATTATACTAAAAGTGAACAGAATTTAGAGAAACGAAGGCAGTAATTACTTCCTTTTATGTCCAAAGTGGGCAATAGCTGGCTTTCTTGGGGTACTTACACCCTCAGAGGATGTGAAACCTCTCCAGAATAGGCTGACTTCCTCTTCCCAGCCATAGAGTAGATATGGCCCCTGGTGGGAGCCATGCTCAATCCTGTCCCTTTGCTATTGACTCTAGCGAGCTGCTTCAAGTTTGTCCATTCCGTCCTATTGAGAATTTACAGTTTTCTGGAGTCACTTGGCCAACCCATCCCCGCCCCCCGTCCAGGCTGAGCCCCTCCTCAGACACCGAGTCCCCAGCTCACCACCTTCTCCGGGTCCGTCATTCTCGTCCATCGAGCTGCAGACTTTGGTGGACGCGAGAGAAGTGGAGGAGCCACCATGCTGAGAGCTCTGGAAGGGGATAGAGACAGAGTACAGGTCAGAGCGCCCGAGTCTCCAGGTGCTACGCTGGCCCAGGATCCAGGAGAGACCCGCGCCCGCTACCAGAAAGGATCCTGACACGCAGAAAGGGAGCCTCCTCAACTATTCGATTAGGACCACCTCTCCCTCCCGCCCCACCAACCAACAAATTGGGTTAAATGTGTCAGGCTAATCATTGCCGATTTGGACGTTCCAGGGCTTCTTATTTCTTTTACTCAAAATTAGCATCCTTTAGCTCACTGTTTCGATTCGACAGATTTTAGGCATCTCACCTCCCTCTTCCACAGTCTACCTGCAAACGGGCCTCAAATGCAGCGCCATTCTCATCTCTTGGAATATTTTTCTATTTTTAGAAAATTTCTCTTCACTTTGTGTTTGTGAAATCGCCTTTTAAAAAGTGTTCGACCTTACTCCATTTGGAGAAAGCTTCAAGAGTGGGTTTGTCAATTCCACTTTGAGATATGTGTTATACAGTGAGTCTGGGGCAAAGGCAGGAATAAAAGCCTACGCCTGGTGATTCCTTATGCTTTTGGTGTATTTTTCACCCACGACCCACGAGAGCAAACAGGGTCACAGCTATATTAGCAAGCTCAGAGGATGCAACCACACCAAATCTTTAATATGACGATCAGCTATGGGGCAATACTTTAACAATGAACGTTTTCATCTCTGCATCTATTCTTTGAGAAAACAGCTTGCACATTCCGGTGCTATTTCTAAAGAGTGAACACAGCTTGTCCTAAAAGATCTTCCTTCTGTTTCCTGGGCTTATCCACTCGGTTGGCCCGATGGGAGCAGGAGGCGGTGAGGGGGCGGCATGGGCTCGTGGTGCTGGCTGTCTGTGCGGCACATTTTTTTGAGCATCTGTAGTTGAATTAATAATGAAGAGGTGGCGAGAAGCATAGTTGACCTATTTTCCCTCTGCTTACCTGTCTCCCTTCAACCTCCTCACCATTCCATCCAGCCTTAACTGTGCACGAAGTAGGAGGGAAGAGAATTTTTATGTAATTTCATTAGGTCCAACACTATCTTGCATAGGAGAATCAAACATTTTCAGTCTCAGCAAAGATGAATATTGTTGGGGAAACGCTACCTAAACCTTGCAGGGCCATTTGAGTCAACTGCCACAGGACGTTATCCTGAGTGAGGCTAAGATGAGCATTTGCCACTGGAAGGGTTCATCAAAACTGACAGTTGGCACGACTGGGGTAAAAGTTAAGTTCACGGCAGTGATGCACCTTCCTTATAGAACATTCTAGATGTTTCGTGGTTACTCTAGTGACCTCTGAATGCCCCCAATAGCATAGCTTCCCCACACGAGAGGGTCTCCCCTCCAGAGAGAGGGACTAATGATCGAGCCCCTTAACTTTCCAATATCGTTAAGACTCCCCCAGTAATTAGCCTGGTGACCTGAGCTATGTTTCCATCCTCTCTCGTCTTGCTTCCCTTTGTGACCGGCAGCATATCTTTGTCCTACGTCAGGCTAGAAAGAGGTTTTCAGATTGTGACCTTGAAACAGAGCTTTTCTGGGCGTGACACTCTGTAGTCAAAACCACCTCTGTTGAAGGTCTTGTAAACATATGAGCTTAGAGCTCCTAAGCCACACACTGCTGACTTTTATAGATGCCTATTTGTGAAAACCTCGTATTTATAATATCGGAATATGAAGATGAGACAGGGCAGATTTATAATGTCAATGTCCAGAGAAAATAAACATTACCATTACCACATTTGAGGGGAAGATGTGTGTTTTCCCACAACAGTGAGATCTCTTTTCCCCCGTGTCACTGCCTTTGCTGTCCACGTAATGGTGTTCCAAGCAGAAAAGCAGTAAGATAATCTCTAAAATGTAGACTTCCTCTTCTGGGCTTTCTGATCCTTGAATTTCTTCCAGCAGCGTCACAAATGGTGTTTAATAATGTAGACACATTGCGGTTTGGGGTGGCAGGTGCTGTCTTGTCATATGGTGTTTTAAATTTTAGAACACAAAGACACATTCTTTCATCAAACACCAGAATTAATAGACTAGTAGCGTGTTTCTTCGCAAAGATGTCCACAATTTATGTACTCGATTCCAAAAGCTTGTTCTTTTAATAATAATGTTCATCAGATACTCAATACAGAACTCTGAACCAAAGTATATGAAAACATCTTTTAAACAGTAATATCCTGCAAACTCGCTGGCTATTACTCACCGAACTGCCTTATGAGCTAATGAATTGCATTTTCAACAGTGTTACCCAATGTCTGATGTGCGGAATGCGTGCACACTACCAGCTATGTTTTCTCTGCCTTTTAAATAAAAACCCCTAAAAGTTTTTTGACTCTGAAAAAAAAAAAAAAAAAAAAAAAAAGGTAGAATTAACACAAATTTGCTTATGTTTAAAATTGCTTATTTTTAACTTTAGTTTTGTGTTTTTGAAAATGTACCCCAAGTCATTTCAAACTTCATGCTGACTGAGGTTTTAAGAGAAAAACTTAAATATAGTACTTTGAAAATTAAAAATTCTCATTTTATTTATTATGCTCATATAGAGTAAAATGAATGTATTAGATTTCTAATGGTGTTATTTTTTTCTTTTCTCCAAAGAAGTGAGATGGTTAACATTATACACTTTTCCAAGACAATGACCATTCATAGATTCAAAGAATTACAGGGACTTAAATATTACCTATTCCACCCTACTCTATCCAGAAGCCAAAGTTCCACTAGAAAAATTCTAGCTACGTGGTCAGATGGCCTCTGTCCAGACACCTCCTGCACTGAACATGGTACTTCCTGAAGCAGCCCCTTAATTGTTAATATGAGACAAAGAAAGCTCTTCCTTAAGTTATGTTGAAATGAGAATCCTCTACCTTTCCCATTTATTGGTCTTAGCCTCACCTCTGGAGCCACCCAGTATAGGTCTAATCCATTCCTCATATGACAGTGCTTCAGGTATTTGGTAATAGCTACTGGCCCCTTCTGTGTCTTCTCTTTATCAATTTGAATATTCCCAGAGTTTTGGTTGTCTGCCATGTGACAGGGCTCCATGACCTCTGCACCCTCCTGTGGATGCACTCCAGTTGTCAAGATATCTTATCAATATATCTTATCACTATATCAATTAATTTTGGTGCTCAAAATTAATGCAATGTTCCAGGTGTACTCTGACCAGCAGAGAGCAGAGAAGGATAAAACTTTCCTTCTTGTGCATAGAATATTAATGCACTTTAAAATCGTATTGGCTCTTCGATGGCGCCATACTGTGTTAGCCTTACAATAGGCTCGTGGTGGTGTCAGGTCTCCCTATTCTGTCTATGGGAGGCTGATGTTTCCAATCAAGTCTACGACTTCCCATTCACTCATGTTAATGTCATCTTCACTATATTCCTATCCTTCCGGCCTGTTATTTTTTGGATTCTGATTTTGTCACCTAATGGTTTTGCTCTCTTTCCCAGCTGAAATCATTCAATTATCAGCATGGCTCTGTGTGTATGCTTGTGATAAAGGGAAAATGTGTATACTCTTGTTCTTTATAATTAACCCAATGAGACTAATTGGCCTTTATTTATGACCAACAAGAGCTGAAAAGTCCATTTATATTTTTGCACGCTTATACATGAAGCCAATTTGCTTATTTGTTTTTTCTGAGCAGATAAACCATTTTGCAGTATACATGATGATAGGATTTTGTGTTTGCTTCAATCAGTTTGCTAATTCCAAGGCATCTGGGTATATAGTACAAAACATAGTTATTTTAGAATTTAATGCAATTAGCTGCTCTAAGAGATATTATGACATTTGAAATGTCATCACCTCCAAGCATATTTAATGGGAACCAGGTGGGCAGGTTGCTGGCACCTGGATGCTTTTATGGTACACCTTCATAAAAGCACTGCCCTAAGTAAGAACACATCTTAAGTGTAGCTATTTAGCTTGGGATCATATAACAGATGGAGAACATATCATACTTTTTGAAGTAAGTGAGAAAGCTGACATAACAGCTCTAACCACATTTTACCAAGGCTATGTAGTAAAAAGCACTTCATTTTAAATATAAATTGTGTAAGTTACTCTTGCCATTTGTATTAACGGTGTCACTCAGCTGGTGTTCATGCTGAATAAAGATTTTGAAAATATCCAATTGATCCAGTTGATCTAATCATGGCAGAAAAATAATCTCACCAGATAATTTTAGCTTTGCTCGATAATTGTATTATTTCCGCTTTGCGTTTTGTCTTGGTATACAGCTATTACTTTGTTAATATTAATTTGAAACTTGAAAGAAAAAGAAATCAGAAATCGACTGGATCAACTGTATAAAGGAAACATAACTAATAAATATTTAACAAATTCAAACAGTTGACTTGGTGATCCTGATCTGAGGTCTACAGAATCTCTAAAGATGACCTCATATAATCAAATAAAATCACGATCTTGGTGTAGAAAGCTCGAAACACATAGGATTTTATGTGTATATAGAAAAACCATACATTTATTTACTTTCCAAGTGGGTAGAACAAAAAGTTGAGGCTTCAACCTGCAATAACTAACAAGCCCTCATTATTTGAGACAAGTCACAAAGGGAATTCCTTTTTTCCAAATTCTTTTGTCTGAATTCTTCAGTGTTTAGCCTAAATAAAGTTTATGGTAAATACAATCATGTGTATAACTAAGAATGAATACTGTACAATGTAAAATGTTATAAAGATTTGCTCAGTGTTTTTTTAAAAACTGAAGAACTGGTTTACTTAGAGAAAGAGAAAATGAAAATGGGGATATTGGCCTTAAATCTATTTTAGTGAAGCCATGGGAGGCAAAATTTCAAAAACAAATGTATTTAATTACAATTTCGTTATATCGGCCAGTCAGTCTTCTCTGCTTCAGTCACCCAGTCTCTCTACTCACTCAGGCCAAGAGCTCTCAATTCAAAATCCGAACCATTTGTCTTGAAGAGACTGTGGTGGCGGTGGCGGGATGACAGTCT